GCCCCTTTCTATCCTTTCCCCCCTCACCCACCCACCCACCCGGCCCGCCCCCACTTTTTTCGTCGGGCCAGGGAGAGTCCCGCCCCTGTTGGCCCAGGCGGGCGACCGCGGCAAATCCTTCGCGTGCGGCGGCGACAGATGCAGCCGGGGGCCGCATTGCTCGGCTTCGGTCTTGGGGGCGCGGAGCCATAATAAGCGAGCGCCCCGCTGCGGCATTTTTCAGCAGGCCCCGGGGCCTTGTCAGCCGAGCCCGCGCGGTGTGCTTCCGCAAGTTTTTCGGATTTCCAGAAATTACGTATGGAGCGGGGGGCACGAGCGCCTTTTTTGCCTAACCACATAGTAAAAGAAGTGCCGCCGCGCGATTTTTTGAAAGGCCCGGCCCGGCGCAGTGACGCCTTGAAAGTTACGGCCTTGTACTTCGCGACTACTGTAATTGCCCGGGCAGCCGGACAGAAGTCGCACCGGGGGCGAGTGCGGACTTCTCACGAACCCGCGAGAAGGAGATGCGCCGTGTATTGTAGAAGGGACTGGTATGACGGAGCTTTAGCTTTTCCTTCTCCGCAGATTTTAGCCGGCCGGCGTGGGCCTCGGGTGAAGTAGGTACGGAATAGGGCGCTCAGAGGGGCAGCGTCGAATGCTTTTCCCATGCCGTGCGTTGCGCCGCGGTTTGCGATGGTTCATAAGCTCTCTCGCCTCGTCGGGTGAGTGTAACGAATGAATATCTTGAACTGCACAATGCTACACGATCCAAAAAAGATCCACTGAACTGAATATTTGTCCTGGACACTACCACAACTACTTTCGCGCATATGCACACCTGGTGACTCGCGACGCTGATGCTTGGACTCTGTAGCTCGGTTGGGAAGTATTACCGTCGGATCTGCAGATCCGTGATAGCGATCCACATGACTGCGCTAAGGTCTCCTATACTCTAGATCCCCCTCTCGGAGGCATTGCAGAGCATTCTGATGATGATGCAGTTCTCCAAAGTTACTGACGTAGAAACAGAAAACTGATCGACAATAGTTCATTCGGCGGAACAGAAACAGATGATGACAAGAAAAGCCCAATGCTCTGTCGGAATCCTATGTGTCCTGCACCACAACAGACACTGACTTGTGATTTATATACAGTTGTTTGAAGATTCCTGTACTCTGCTACAAATTATAGATTTACTGCATTTCTTTTTGTGAAGATAATATTAATACAAGCTATGCTGTCTAGACTTACGTAATCGTGCCTTTTAGCGGCCTCATAAGTTTTGCAAAGAGTCGCGTTTTGTATTTGGTTGCACTCTTGTAAAATTACGACTTAATCGAGAATAAATCTTTTTGTCGCACTGCGTGTAAAATTACGACTTAATCGAGAATAGAGTCACGTTATACTTTTTCTGTATTATCAATCACTGGATGCGACTTCATCTCGTCATATTTGTGTACAGTGCATAATTTATTTGGGTCGCACCTTATTTTTCCTAGAAGCACTACTTCGTGTTTCTCTTTTTCGAAATGCGCCATCACGTTCGATCTCTAGTCGCTTTGCGGGCCCTGCTGCCCTGGTCGCGACTACTCTATTATGCGGACGCAGCTGCGCCTGCGCCGCCGACTTTTCCGCCGGAACCGGCCGACGGTGGAAATGCCGCGGCACCGGTCGATGGAACTGCCGGCGCTGCACTGCCGGATGCGGATATAGATAGCAATGCCAGTGACGTGGACATGAACGACAGTGTTAGTGACGATGCAGACGTAGGGAATTTAGCTGACTTTCTTGAGGAGGAGGAGGCGGCGGGGCGGGACTCCCCGGCGTCGGCACAACCTCACCAAGGAGAACGAGGCGAAAGCCCGGGCGCCCCGCCACCGGGGGAGACAGGCCCCGCAGCGGCAGAGCTTTTACAGGAGTTTAGCAGGTCGATGATATCGTGATCGAAAGAACCCATCGCCTCATTGCATTTTTTTACCGGGACGGACTGTCTTGCATGATCTACTACGGAAAAAAATTCTGTCGTGCAACCAATCAGCTGATGTTGTTTTCAAAAGCGGCAAGACAAAGTCACACTTCGACTTTCCGTGCACTCGACAGGAATTATGATTGCTTGATGCGAGGACACGGCGCAAAAGACGTCTACGAAAGGTTGTGGGCGGCATGCCCGGGCCAATACTGCTTGTTTGCGTCGCATTTGGTACGATTTTAGTCTATTGAACTAGAGCAGTGAGGCGTGTTGTATTTCGAGGGCGATAGTACATCGGGGGTCAAATGGACGAAGGAGGTACCGCGGAAGTGGTCCCGGGCTCGGCCGGCGCATTCACGAAGAGTTTGGAAGACGCCTATGTGTATCTGGACGCCGAGGTATGCAGATGGAAACTCTCCTTTGAGCAACAGGCTCGCGACCGGAAAGACCGGATAATTTTCGGCAAAGCGGCTACCTAGCATCTGTCTACTCACTCGTACTCTCGCACTTGCTTGGCATCTCAGAGTATGAGTAGGCAGGCTAGTAGAAGTACCAGCCAGCCCTGTTGTTTCGGTTACCGCACCGCAAAGGTTCTGCATGCATAATGTTTGCAAGGTCTGCGCACACGAAAATCGGACATGATGATGTTTTCGAACGACTTTTGAAACGAGCAGTCCTGCCCGGTGTGTTTTTTTCTGCTGCCTTTCTTTATTGTCAAGGAGACACTTTTCATCTGCATACGAACGGGATCGTGCATGGATAGGACGCCTGGCCCGCCAGGAGAACACTTGGCTCGGCGTTACCCGCTGGAAACCTGCAAGCATTGCATATGCATGTCTACCTCCAGAGGAAGAAATCAATTCATTCTAACATTGTTTTGCATTTTGCTCATCTGGTAACCAAATGCGTGCGCGCGCGCGCGCAGAGCGCGCGCCGGCCCACGAAGCCGGCGCGCGCGCTCTGCGCGCTTGCGATATTGCTTAGCAAACGCAGCGCGAAGGCAGTTGCCGTTACCATATAGGGCAACCGCCGGGAGGCGTGAAGGTCAGGGAAATGGCCAGAAATGAAGCGGGAGAAGGGAAAAAAAGCGGACCAGATGGGAAAATGGCCAGGAGGTCAAAAATGTCGCAAAAACGGCAGAAACCAAGCGGGAGAAGGTGAAAAAAGCGCACTTTTGCGGTTTGGCCCACTTGATATCTGAAAAAGAGACGGACTATTTTTTGCTCCGCCCGGTGGCCAGCTGCGTTGGAGAAGCAGGCCCGCGACCTGTCCGGAAGCCTTGGGCCGCTTCGTAACTGGAAAAAATTGGAAAAAAATGGCAAAAAATTGCTTCATAACGTGGGCGGAAGCAATCGTCGGATTTTGTGCAGATCGCCCGGGCCACTTGAAAAATGAAAAAAGATGAAAAATTGCGCAAAAGCGCAATCCCCCCGCAGGCTTCAAAACTGCCACCCAGGTGGGGGCGGTGAAAATGTGCAGATCGCCCGGGCCACTTGAAAAATGAAAAAAGATGAAAAATTGCGCAAAAGCGCAATCCCTCCGCAGGCTTCAAAACTGCCCGTCAGATGCGGGCGGTAAAAATGTGCAGGTCGCTGGGGCCACTTAGAAACCAGAAAGAAACGCGAAAATTAAAAGAAATCGAGAACCCTCGGCAGGCTTAGAAACTGGCCACCAAGGGCGGTCCGGCGGGCGCGCGCTTGCGCCGTACCATCGCGATTGGGAAAAAAAAACCGCACTAGAAGCGGGCGGGGGTATGTCACAAAATCCCCATTTGCCCTGGGTTTTGAGCAGAAATTCGGCATCTTCCCCGGGTCTGAAATGGCCGATTTTGGTGGCCCGGAAGGGTTTGCGGGTTTTCGGCCTTCCACATACCTCCCGGGCCCGGGGGCCAGTTTGTCATGCAGGGGGCTAGAAAGGATGCCCCGCTGCGAGCTAGCAGACCGGATTTCGCATTCAATGCTTATCGCAGGAGCCTGCGGGCCGCCGCGGGCGACAGTAGTTGTCCGCGGCCCTTTAGGGCCGCGGGGAAGTGGTGGAGCCCGCGGCGGCCCGCAGGCTCCTGCGATAAGCTTTGAATGCGAATCCGGAAGCCTCCGATGACCCGGGATAGCAGTGGGATTCTAATTAAAAAAAGTGGGACTCTAATTAAAAAGAAATGGTGGTGGCAACCGCGCTTTCGCCGCGCGGCTGGTTAGGCTTTCGCGCTGGTTAGATTTTCGCGCACGCATTTGGTTACCAATATCGCCCTCCGGGCGCGACATTCATACTAAAGCAACATCGGGGCCGCGAAGGTTCATCGACATTAGGCTGAGGTGTTCTACTTGAAAGAATGCCCCTAGGACTAACTCGCCACCTTCTCTGACCACCCGCAGGACGCGATGAAAGATTTTTTCTGTAGCAATCCTCAGAGACACAGACACGTTGGTATGCGATGCAAGCACGTTTCGCTACGAGACTCATTCAGCTGCAACAAGGCGACCAATTTCCGCCGGGGCCACGGGCGGCGGAGGGTGCGTCCGGTATCGAAGCCTTTTGGAGAGACCAGCTGGTCCTGGAATCCCCCGCTCGCAGGGGCCTACGAAAGCTCCTCGGTAACGAAAAAAAAGATGGAGGGTTGGAACACGAAGAAGTATTGAACCTCGACGAGAAAGAAGTTCAGTTGGAGCGGCTTGCGCCGCTCCGGCTTGCGGTTCTGCGTGCGCTCAACCGGGAATTCGAAGATTACACAGATGCAGATGAAGACGATGACGAAGAAGACGGCCGTAGGAAAGATGATTTGGAAGACTTCGTCGCACGGCAAATAAAGTGGATGACCGGACGCACGAGGGTTCACCAACACCCGCATAGGTTGTTTTGGGCGCCCTATGGCTGGACTTGCCAGGGGGTTCTGGATGATCAGGTGTGGAATACGTTCCTCGGCGTCGCGCCTACCGATTTTGCCTCGCTGGGGGTGGATGGATTTCCACAACGCGTGGCTCGAAGCGACTGGAATGATTTTGTTTTGGACGTTCGGAGTGACTGGAATGATTTTGTTTTGGACGTTCGGAGTGACGGCTTTCCTGCTTACAAGAGAATCGCAATCCTACTAGAGGAGGAAGCTGCGGGGTATAATGAAGCGCCCTCCGATTTGAACGCGCTCACTTTTGCGTTTAAGGTCGACAGCACTGATGACCCTAGCGAAGAGGTGCACGGCCACGTGGGGCCGCTGGACACGCGCATACTGCCGGAGGTGTACAGCGCAGCGTCGTTTATGGAAGAACACGGCGGCACGGCCACAGTTCCGGCGCGTGGACAGCACGACGGGAGCATGGAGAGTGAGAAGTTTGCCGATTGGCTGAAGCAACTGCTGGACCTGCCCGAGTCCCCTCAGGGTGATGAATTTCCGAGAGACGCCCAAGCTACAATACACCCCCGTGACACCCCCGACGGGGCGACCGTGGTGCGGAGCTCGCGGCACAGGTTCGTTTACGACTGGTCCCAGTTGGAAAAGTTTTTGCGCGCCTCCGACGGCCGCGCGACATTGCCGGTGGACCGCATGGACGTCTGGGATCCGATTTCCGGCATGCCTCGCCCCGAGGATGGACTTGAAACAGATGAAAAGTGGACCCTGGTGCGAGTCCTCATTCCGCACAGCAAAACGGATGTTTCCATCCCAGCGCACGAGCAGCAGGGGCCGCTGCACTGCGGGGATCATGGCACGCAAACACTAGAGATTCCGTTGGTCGACCTGCAGCCCGCGGACGGGAACAGTACGCGCGAAGTCATCCTGTTTTTTGTGGAATCGACTGCAAATTTGCAAGTTCCACCGCGCATACGCTATGCGCGCAGGTCCAATTTTCCTCCGCAGGACATTCAGCGGCTTGACCCGCTGGATGCAGTGGTTGTCGCAGCTACCGCCAATGCCCAGGCCGCGCGAAGACGTGAGGCTGCGCCGGACGCAGCCCAACCCCCGAACCTTCTCGGCGCCCTGCGGAAGGAGCTCCTCCGGGACGACGCGAACCGAGGCGAGCCGGGTGCAGCCGAGCAGGAGTGGCGGCCCCACGAGGAGAGGCAGCTGGGGCTCGCGGACACTGTGGCGCTGGTGGACGTGCTTCCTGCATTTTTGGGGGAAGACATTACAACAGCCCTGCGCGGGGGCGCGCCGACTGAACACCTGATACGATCGATAAATGACATGGTGCTCCCGTTTCTGGCGGCGGTGGACGAGGTCCAGCTTCCGGAGACGCTCCGAGATACCCTGTACGACGTTCTTTGTCTGACCACCTATCTTCTCCAGGGGCGCCACCAAGAAGCAGAAGTGGCCGTAATGCGAAGCAGCGTACAAAAGGATCTGATGCTTTTGGTTGGCACCTATGGGGGTACGGCCGTTCCGCGCCGGTCCAGCGGCAAAAAAGCGTGGCTGCGGCGGATCGACGACCGCTTCCTGCTGATCGACCGGGAGGCCGAAACAGTTCTTAATTCGCAGCCCCCGGCGCGCACTTCAGGCCCAGATGCGCCCGCCCCGTTGCCGGAGTTGCTGCTTCCGAAGATGGGAGGAGGTCGCGAGCGAACATCGCGGCGCATGGACGTCGGCACTAGCACGCTCGAGCCGGTGGTGGAGGAGGATGAGGAGGAGGAGGACCGAGCCGGAGATTTGTATTTTGCAAAGCCCGGTAGGTACATCCTCGTACCGCGAAAAGGCGCACAGGTCGTGGTGCGCCACGCGGATTGGGAGCTGTCCGATAGGGGTCCCAATCCGTTCCCGGATTGGGAACGTTTTCAATTCATGTCGCAGCAGATTGGCGCGGGCGACGCGGCTGGGCTCACGTTCGCGTTGCCCAGCACGGAGGTGGTCGCGCAACCCTCGGCCGCGCCGACGTCCACCGCGTTGAATGTCGCACCGGAAGAACCAGCTGAGCGCGACGCAGTAAACTTGTTCGAGCGGAGCCTGCGCGACGAGATGTTCGAAGGCGACACCGGCGGAGACGAGGTGCGGAGCTCGGTTCACTCGGTGAAGTCCGGGAAGAGCAGAACTAGCAGTCGCTTCGGGAACCTGGGCTTAGCCGAGTCTCTACGCGCACATGATAAAAGGAACCACGATCGGCGATTCAATTACCGGAGGCTCAAACAGCTCCAAAGTGACGCCACGAGTTCCCACTCGGGCATTTCAGGTGCCACTTCTACCGCACCGGGGGGAAAGATGTTTCTGGAGCCACTCGGTATCCACGGAAAGAACAGCTGTTTTCAATCCACATTGCAATCAAGTTGGGCTTGATGAGGCACCAAGCGCGCTTGCGCGGAATGTCTGTGCTTTGTGTAAAAATCTTGTAGAATTTTTTCATGTAGTTCTATGACTCTGAGTCTGTTTGTCGCAGAAAGTGTCCGTCTAGATTTATATACAAGTGTGCTCCTCTTGATTGTCTTACACGTGGATACTGTGTCCGAAGGTCGTCGGCTTGGTTCGACGTGGTAGCGGACCGCTTCGCTCCGACTCTTCGGTTGCTGGCATGTCTTCCAAGGGGGGCGGGGCCCCTTCGTCCGTAATGAATACTGGCCGGCCAACACTCGCAACTCCAGCTAGCGCCGGCGGGGGGGAGGTCACGATCGCAGCCGGGCGCGGACAGGGCTCCGGATATCAGAGGGAAAAGTGTCCCTGCCCCCGAAGTACGATAGGCATGTGAGGTTGCAACGTTGCCAAAAAATGAGAACGACTTTTTGCATAAAAAGGACGAAGATCATTTTTCCTTCATCTGCTCCTGCAGACGCGAGGCGCAGCCCCGACTGCGGTGGCTTTTTGCACACCAACAAATTTGCGCTCCTCCACGTTGAAAATTTTACTCGGCGGGCATGGGTAAGAATGGGGCAAGGAGCGCTTTTCAGGAGGATCCCGGGGGAGACATCTTCAGCCTGTGGCACGAGGCCTGGTCGAAGATCTATCCTGTGCAAAAGTAAGTATCGTACTCGTATGGAAATCATGCATTACAAATCCTTTTCTTAAGGTCAATCCGCATTGCAAATTTTATTTCTCATGCTGAGGAAATTTGTCATGCATTTATACGAGCGCGATACTTTTGCAGTGCATAAGATCAACCGAAAGACGAAGATGATCGAATCGGACAAGGTCCAAGCATATCAAATGTAAAAATGTCTGGGTCTGGAAGATTGCAACTTGTGATGCTGTCTCTGCATTCTAAAAAAATCTGTATTGCATGATCAGGAAGAGGGGCCCAGTTTGTGCTACATGGGGAGGGCATTTCTCATGCGGGATAGGCATCAGAAAGCCCGCTAAGAATCTGTGATGCCAGGTTATCCATTACAGGCACTATGGGTCATGTAAAATCTGCATGACAAGTCTGGCATTTTTCCAGACCCAGACATTTTTGCATTTGATAAAGCATTGGCGGCTGCGTTCTGCGACGTAGACAAGAAAGAGGAGGCGGCCCAAGAAAGAGAGGGCAATCTTGTGCGAGCGGCGTTCGTCACGCTCGCGCCTGGGTTTGGCGGGCACGGGCAGTACCTGTCACGGACCATGCTAAAAGTGCAACGGGCGAGCTGGGCGCAGCTTTTCCCGAGGACGACCATCGAAGACGCGCTCAACACGGATCGGATGTCGGAAAACGCCCACGCAGGTTTGGGGTTGATAAAGGCAAAACAGCGGATAACGGCGAAGCTTGGCCGAGTGAATTGGGCGCCCGGGGCAAAACTCATCTTATCGGAGCTGAACACCTGGGCGCGCCCCCCCAAGAAGCGAAATACGGACGGACGGTGGCCCCAGGACTTCTGCGCGACCGTGCCCAACCTTGGTCCGATCCTTACGTGGGGGGAAGAAAGCGGTCGCTGGGAGCGGTGTCACGCGTCCAAAAGTTTCGCCAGGGGTCGCATGTTTGAAGCGACGGTGCACGCCGTGAACGAGGACTACATGCTTGTGCACACGGAGGCGAAGTTGAACCCCGACACTGATGAAAGACAAGCTGGGGATGTTCCTCTGCACGAGACGCAGCCGGGCGTGCTGTGGCGGCTCGACGAGGACGTGGATTTGGACTCCGCCGATCGAGAGAAGGACATGCTGGATGAGATGGCGGGAAACCCTAGCGACGGCACCTCGACCTACCGCCAGGAGAAGGAGGAGCAGCGCGAGCTGTTCTACTCGAAGCTGCGGTTCGGCACGGACGCGAACCGCCGCCTCCTTTTGGCCTACCTGCGCATGGAGAAGGTGCCCAGCGAAGAGTTCTGGAATCGGCTGCGCATGACCTATATCAAATGTAAAAATGTCTGGGTCTGGAAGATTGCAACTTGTCATCCTGAATCTGCAGCATGCAAAACTCTGTGTTGCATGATTGCCAAAAGTCGTCCAGTTTTGACCAAGCCGGGAGAGAGTTTCTCATGCAGGATAGGCATTAGAAAGGTCTCGCAGAATCTGTCATGCTAGCTCCGGCATTCCAGACCTCATGGGTCATGGAAAAGCAGCATGACAAATCGGCCGTTTACAAAGGGGGAGGCAAAGTGTGCCGCACTTCTGTTTAGCATGACAAATCGCGCACTCTTCCAGACCCAGACATTTTTACACTTGATAACCTACGCGGAGTACCAGAACCAGGAACGGCAGGTGCTGCGCGAGCAGGAGGTGGAACACCTCCTCGCCACCATAGATGGTTTCTGTGCAAGGAGAAATTGCTGGATCAACACCGAATTTACAAACCGTTTGCGCAGCAACACCGACTGGATTTTTCAGCACTGGGACAACGGGGAACTGCTTTCTAGGGACGTCAAGCCCCTGCTGGATCCGCACGCTGGAGATGAGAGGCGCCAGAACGGGGTGGACTACTGGGCCGACCTGTTCGCCCTGCAAGATGCGATGGCGCAGACCCGCGAACAACTCGAGCACACCTTCACACCCGCGCACTTCGACGAGTATGCGGCAGAGGCACTTGCGGCAGTCGTCCAGGTAGCCGAGCAGAAATTGGCAGACGACGTGTCTATCGCGCAGGGGGGAGCTACTTCGCAGCACCTAGCGGCCCCTGACGAGGGGGGGAGCGCGGACGCACAGCGAGCCGCGTTTGCGGCGGGCCACCGGTTCGTGAGCGATACCTTCTTCGACGCGACGTCGATGGCCGAGCAAGCGCAAGAGCTGCGTGCCAAGACGCAGCGTCTCCGCGTGGCGTCCAACTCCAGCTTCTGGAAGGGGGCACTCACATTTCGGGATGAGTTCCTGAACTGGACGGATCTGCGGGGCAAAGGGGCGACTGGGCTTGCACAGCATCCCACCGCCGAGACGTTCTTCAAATCGGAAAAGAAGATCAGCGTCTCGGTCTGGTCCTTCGTAAGAAAGTACTTCCTGGGCGAGCCGGATAGTCTCGAATTCTGGGACGTGGTGCTGCCCTTTCACGTAGAGGACACAGTCCGGGCTTCGAGGACGCTCGCAACAACGGGAGCAGGTCGTTCTTTCGACCTTTTCACGACGCCGCCGCCACGTATGTTCTTTTCGCTCTCCGACGGACGACCCGCCAGCATCTTCTCTCGATTGTCGCTCCGCAGCACGGGGGGTACCCTGTACGGAGGCTTGCGCCGCCTGCTGGTCGAGCAGGAGCACTATATGGCAGACCAACAGATGCAGGAGATGCTGCACGACGCTCGGACCCATAACCGCGCGAAGTACGAGCTGAGCCCCACTCTTGCCGAGAGCGCATACTTTGCGAACATGGACGAGAGCCAACGCACAATCGTGGAGAAATCTTTGATACAGCCACTAACGCTCGTGCGTGGTCCGCCGGGCACGGGCAAAACCTACACAATCGTCGGTATGGCCCTCGCGGAGCGCGAGCGGGCGCGCGTGGCCGCCACCCAGTTGAAGATGAAGTTCCGCAGGTTCGCAGAGACGGTCGTGCACCAGATATTGCAGATCAAAAAGCGGCAGCTGGGTCCCTCCTACGGCCTTTCCCTTGCGCTCACTCCGGCGGAAGCGATTGGCGAGACGCCGGATTTGCAGCCCGCCCGAACCGCAGCGCCCGGCGAAGCGCAGGTGGCACCTCAGGAGGATGGAACTCCAGGCCCACCAGCGGTAGGGGTGGATCCCTCCGCGGCAGCAGACCGCATGGATGTGGACGCCGGCGAATTCGGGGAAGCGACGAATAGGGTCGCGGTCCGTGATGTCAGCGTTGCAAACGCCATTCCCGGGCTGCGCAGCCTCTTCAAGCACTACGATCTAGAAATGTTGTCGCCCTGTCTGGAGGCTCGCTTGGTGTCTCCTGCCGTGTCACCCGGCGATTCACAGTACGAAAATGAATTCTATCAGCGCGTGCGTGCGGTACTTGCCAGCGAGGAGGACGCAGTTCCCTTGGAACTCGCCTTGGCGCACCAGCGCGAGCTTCTCCAGATCGTGCTTGCAGCGCACACAACTGCCCTCCGCGTGCGGTGGAGGCAGCCATTCAAGGGCGCGATGCAAGAGGGCGCGGGGCAAGCGGCGGACCTCTTGGACATGCTCGGCGCGGTGGTTTTGCAGGATTTGCTGAGTGGGCCGCTTAGTATGGTGAGCCGCATTGTCAACTTCGATGGCACACGCGCGACTGAGCTAATGCTGCCTCTCGGCATGGGTAAGCTGCTCGGCATGGGCAAGCTGCCTGAGGGGTATGGTCAGTCTATGCAAGAGCATGTTGCATGGTCCATCTTTGTCCTTCTGAAGGTGCAGTTGGACCAGACGGATGCACAAATGTCGCACCAAGACCTGCTTCGTGCACTTCGAGACCGGCGTGCAGACAGGAGCGCGGAGAACGACGAGAGCAACGGCGTGTTGGTGGGCGTGAAGGACTCGGCAAAACGTTTTATTAAAGATTATTTCGAGGGGGCGAGCGAGCCGGTGGCGTTTGCGCGAGCGGAGGCTGTCGCCAAAAGGTTCGAGGAAATGATTTACCAGACCATGTACCGCCTTTCGCGCGTCACTGTCAAGTTGCAGCATATTCTCGAGCAGTCACCGCATCTGCTGACATCGGTGGGCGGTGCTCAGGAGGACTTCTGCCCTTGGCATCTGGAGGCTTCGGTCGCGCAGACCCGGGCCCTTCGTAGGCAAAATGTTGCGCGGCAGACCCGCGTTCTTGAGGAGCATGACGCGGAAGACCTCCCTGGACACCACCGGGCTGGCGAAGCCGAGGTCCGGGGGGAGGGTTTTGCGCCCACGGGGTGCGAACCAGCGGAATTGCGAGCCCGTGCGGCGGAAACAAAGCCAGAACTTGTAATCGAAGAGCTGCCGGCAGGAATCACGGCGGAACAGGCGAAACAACAACGAAGTAAAGCGAATCGCCGATACGTTACGCGAAATAAAAACGAGTCCTCTACTGACTAAGTACTTGCAGACAAGCATGCTCGTGTAGACTCAGTGTATAAAAGTCGCCGACGTACAAACGGCGTTAGCTGAGGTTGTCGGGATGCAAGGATCATTTCATTTATTATTTGCAGATATGTGTCACTACCTGTAGCAGGTTTCAGAAACTCCTGCTGCAGCATGCGCGCAGAAGTTCTAGGTGGAAAATTGGACAGGTAAAGGTAGCAACACAAAGTACAAGCACTCGCGAGATGCAAAAGCGTCATAATCCGACCTTTGGCGCTGCGAGTGCGATTGTGAAAGAGCACTCATTTCCTTTGCATAAGCGTGTATCCGTACTATGCTTTGACTGCCGCCGACTGGGATCGAGTGGCGGAGGCTTTGTACCTGAGGTTTACAACCAATTATTCGCAGCGAGAAAAGGACATACTGCTGCCCAACTTGCGGATGATTCACGCATGGTTTTTGGAGCTGAAGGTATCGGAAGCGATTGTGCGGCGCTTTCCTTCAAAGAGCACGCGCCGTACGGCACCCTATCAAGCTGCAGCTACGGAAGAAAGATGGCTTTTCAATTGCGGTGTGTGATTAAGTACTTACGTTGATTTTTGTAAAACACGCGTCGAAATGGAGCTAATTTGGCTGAAGCGAATCAGGGGCAGCTAACAACGGACAATGAAGGCGTTGCTTTTTGCTCTCTGACACTACGTGCATTCGAAGAAGATGAGTTCCCGCAACTTGGCCTGTCAGCCATTATTTTTGTAGAAACATAGCTGCGGTGTGAATGTGATGCAAGCTGGCGTTTTTACCTCATTTGAAAAGTCATTTTTTTACCTGCATAGCGGTAAGGGTTCCGATGGCAACCGAGCAGGTGAAGAATGATCTCCGGACTCTGTACGGCCAGGAGGTGTCGCAGCAGGAAGAGGCTGCCCTGAAAGCGGAACTACTGAAAAGCGTGCTACTCTTATCGGACCTGTTTCAGCCGTGGCGGGTCCCCATGCTCGTCGTCTCGGAAACGAACGACGCTGTGAACCACGTGGGCACACAGCTCCTGCACGAAGGCTTGAACGTTTTGCGGCACGGGTTCGCAGGCAAGGCGGACCTACAGTACGGCAAGAGTGGGCACCAGCTGCAGGGCCACACGATCGACTTAATGCGGACGAAGTTCAAGCACGAACTGGCCAAGGACGAGGTACGGGCGGCAGCCCTCGCCGAGGACGACGGCACCTCGGGCGGGGGAGCAGGAGACGCGGCGGTCACCAACCGCTTTCTGCTGGACTGGGGCGAGCTGGCGCTCCACCGGCTCCGGAAAACGCTTTTTTACGGGGCCGGCAAGCAGGAGCAGAGCGTCACCTTCCTACCGACCAAGGGCGCCGACGCTGCGAACTTTAAGCACCCGATTCTGATCCAACGGGATCACCCGAACGGGGAGGCGCTCATGGAATATCTCCGCGACACGGAGTTTTCGATCACCGCGCTTCTCCGGGCGGGCGGCATTCTGCACGGCGACGGCGCGGGAGGCGGGCGGAAGTCGGAAGCAAGAAGGCTGCCCGGCGCCAGGAGTACCCATCGCGGCCGGATCGCAAAAATGGCCGAGAACTATTTGAAGGACTTTGTGATCGATGGGGCCGACGTGTACCTGTCGACGTGCGCGGGAGCGACCACTCTCACGAACAGGCAATTTCCCGTGGTCATCCTGGAGGAGAGCTCTCGCATCGGCACGAACGCGGCGCTGCGGCCCATCAGCCTGCTGGACACCGAAAACAACCACTTTCGGGACCCGACCCTTTTCGACGCCATTTTGGGAGCGCATCACGAGCTTGACGGCGGCGCAGACCCTGCTCTGGGGAAGTTAAGAGGCGGCTCCGCGAGCGCGTCCGCTCGAGCGACACTGCCCCTAGAGGAAGCGCTGACGGAGAAAGAGCGCAAAGCACAGTTGCGGAAAGCGTTCCTCGCTGATTGGCGGATTTATCAAAGGCAAATATGTACATGTCTAGGTTCGTTTGGAAGAGTGCAAGGTTAGTATTTTCCAGGCATCTTGCGGACCGCGCGCACGGTCTGGAATGCACACAGCAGGATCACAGATTTCGCGAAACTTGCCGCGCGCCTCTTTCGCATGAGAAGACCGCCTTTTGCCTAACGAGAAGTGGCGGGCAACTTTTTGCGGTAGTGCAGCACAGATTTTCTTGTAGTCGAGACTTCGCATGACAAGCTGCATCCTTCCAGGCCCAGACATATTTGCAATCCATAGGCTCAAAGGTCGGCTGATTTTGGTCGGCGACGAGTTCCAGCTGCAGCCGTTCGTACCTTCGGAACTGCCCTCGCACGTGATTATGAACTGCAAATATGTCTTGGCCGGTTGTCGTGACTGCAACATTTGTAATGCCGAACTCCCATACGTAGATACTCTCCAACACATGTTGCGCAAGAGCTCGGGTTTTTCTTTTTTGTCAGGCAAAAACACTGTTAGTTTCTCGTCCACCACAGGATTGTCCAAAAACCTGTTATGCTTGGCTGAGTACTCTAGAAGTCACAACTTCGTCATTCATCACGACGTATTTTTAGCGTGACAGCTTTATTTTTCAAGGGGATCCAGACATATTTGCATTTGATAGTGATGTATCAAAAACAAAAGATCACATCCGCGGACAGCCGCGTGCCTGCGATTTCCCGCATGCCCTGGGGCGTCCGATATCGTCCAGAAGTGGATGCCAGCATCAGGTACGAGCGTCACAGCGTCCCGCATGGCACCAACGACGGAAACGTCGTTTTTGTGCAACTTCTAGGCATAGAAATCACGGCGCGTTGGAGCTCGGGGGTTGGGAGAAAAATTGCCAATGTAAGGAACAACTATGAGGCTGCATGTCATAACGAACTCCATTTTCACTATGAGATAGCTAGACCATAATTTCTTGATGCAATGCTCGGCTGTGCTGGACAAGATGAGCTCTATCCGCGTTTTGATCGTCTGCCTTTGCGAACAAAATCGGACAAGTTCATCGTGACGGAGATTTTCATTTTTCTTCTTAACCCACAACGCGCTGTATAATTTTTGCAAAGCTGGATAAGATCACGCGACCGAGGGAAACTTCGAAGTAGATATGCGGGAAAGCTTATTCGAGCAATTGGTGTCGAAGTACCCTTCTGCGGCCGACACGCTACGGGTACAGCGTCGCATGAACGAGTGGATTGCGCACTTTTCCAAGCACCGCTATTACCGGGGTGAGCTGGAGACGGACCTCAACCACAAGCAGAAACACTTCCACAGCACCCGCTACGAAGAGGACCAGGCGGAGGTAAACGCTTTGAAGCGCAGGTATGGAAGTCTCAAACGTTACATTGTTAGCTGTTGTGTGATTTTTCTCACGGAGAAGACCTATCAGACTTCACACGATCAAGCCACTTGGCATGACGAATTCTACTTCAAGCGCTAAACAGCGAAATATTTATGTACCGAATCTGTAAGGGGGGACTCCCGAGCAGGAGCTTCCTCGTTTCGCTTGCGCTATTGTTGCGTCGCAAATTCATGTAAAAAAAGCTGAGAGTGTAGCGCTTGAGAGTTGATAGGAGCGTCTTTGACCGCGCAATGAAGGCGGGGGAAAGTCCGTCCGCGGGGTTGATTCGGCAAGGAAGTTCGTTGGGGGCGGTGTGGAGTGCGAAGCACGCGGACCTGAGCTCCGGCGCTCCAGGGGACAAAAGCGGGCTGGAAATCCCCATTAAGGTCGTGGACCTGGGGCTCACGCTGGGCCGGCGCGCGCTCGTAAATTCAGTCCAGATGCAGGAGAGGCAGTTCGAGCTGGGGGGTCTCGACGACGAGAACGGCACTTCGAGGCACGAACAGCGCATTCGCACGCCCACAGAATCGGAGGAGGTCTATTTCCCCACGTTGACCGCGCAGTCCACGATCTCGGCTGGGTTTGATCTGCCGCCGTTCGTGATGAAACAAGTCCGAGTGTTGAAACAAGCATTGCTGCGCCGGGGAACCACGGCCGGCTCCGAGCAATGCAACCAGTGCCCCGCAGTGATGCCGTCCTGGGCCTCGATGCGCGGAATCGACAAATCGCTGGGGCCCGCGGCATATCGAGGGCTGCTCGCGATGAATGACAACATGAAGAAGTTTGAGTACAGTTTTGGCGCTTCGGGAGGTCCAGCGCCGAAGCTCTGGGAGGGCACAATGCAGGGAACCAAAAACACGGGGGCACCCTCGGAGGTAAGAGAGCTCGTGCCGGCAGAGCGCAAGTGGGGCAACAATTTGGCCATTTACGACTCCTGCTACGAGAAGATGCTGCTGGAGCATTTCTCGGGTCTCTTTACCGAGGACGTGTTCGGGGGTCGCGTGGACGACAATCGCTGGACGGAGAAGGTGCAGGGCTCTGAACACAACTTGCGAATAAACCAAAAGACGGTTGACTGGGCGCGTAGGCGAGAGCTGCGGTTGGAGCAAGACGTTGTGAACCCTCTGCGGAAGTACTACCACGCCGCGGGCGCACCCAGATCAGACGCCTCTGGCCGCAAAAAGCGCCGGGGGGCCGAGGACCAGCACAGCAACCCGGCATCAGCGCAAATGGTCGTGCAGATCGTCAAGACACTGCTTTCTGGCACTTCGGACGTGACGGATCTATCAAACCAGAAGTTGAGCTGCCGCTCGCGCATACCGATAATTCGCCTTCGTGCCTTTATTCGCTATGTGATGCTACTAGAGACTTGATTGCTGGAAGCAGCACGACGGAGTTTTTCTAGTGTAATACGTGCTTAGAGGGGGCTTTTTGCATGTTGAAGTTTGATGGTCTTGTGCCGCGTTCGTGAGACGTTGCGCGCGGGGGTATTTCATGTATTTGCACTTGATTAGGTCCCCTCCGTCCCGAAGACATTGCAGTACTGCCTATGTACAAGGACCAGAAAGAGAAGATTCAAGAGCAACTGCGGGGGCTTTCCAAAACGGATAGTCATTGGGTGAAAGAAGCGGAAGCGCGTGCACAGGAAGGAAGGCGGTTGACACAGGTGCTCGAATACCTGCTCAGCCGGGCCGGGGCTTCCACCGCAGCGGGGCGCACGCCCCCACTCGCGTCCGAGGAGCGGCTCGCCGGCTTCGTGCGCGCTTTGCAGGAGACGTTAGCGGCGCGGACGGGCCACGTGGTGGCACTGCTGCAGACTGCGCCAGCGGGACGGGAGCCGATCTTAACCTTCCTCTCTACCCTGACAACCGAGGCAGCGGCGACTAGTGCGGTCAGGCCAGCAGAGTCGGCAGCGACCGACCCGCGGGGGCGCAAAACTCTCGAGCCTTTTTCGCAGGAGTATGCGTTTCTGCGCGAGGGCCCCTGCGTTCCCTACGTGCGTGCGGCCGCGCTCGTCCTCACTCACTCCGTGTCGGCGGAGCTGGGCAGTGCGGTTATGGCCTTAACCGATGCCGAGCGGTACCCGCACGCATATAAAGATGTCGTCGGCGCAGCTGAGAAGAACTTGGCCCTGCTTCCTAACGATATCGAGGCGCTCCTTGAAACCAAAGACCCGGTGAACTCGCTCCAGGAGCTGCAGCAACTACCGGCGGGTCGCGCGGCAGCCCGTGCGACGGAGATGCGCTGGCAGGTACCCGGGAACGTGCAACACACGTCGGACCACGCGTCGCACCCACTTGACAATCTGATCCTGGTGGTGCGGGCCTCCTTATACGAGCTGCACGCGGCGGGGCGCGACTGGCTCCGGAAGACGCAGCAGATGGAACGGGGCGACTTTTTGCTGGCGGTCTGCTTTCTGGGGGTGCAGCTGCGGCGCATGGAGCGACTACTGGAGGACCTGGAGGCTTCGCGGCGCACCGAGGCCGAGACCAATCACGCGGAGCGGTTGAACTTCGTGCGAAATCAAATAGGCAGGCGGCCACTGGAACCTGTCCCCGTCGTGGACATCGACCACCGCCAGGTCCGGTTGGACATTTACGCGCACACCGAAAGCGAGCCCGCAACGGAGCCGCAGGTTCACGTCCGCTTCTTCCAAGACATGTGGCGTGCGCTCTTTAAGCAGCAGCCCGGGCACTCACTGGCGCAGCAGCAGAACATCCAGGATCACCTTATCAACGTCTTCTCCCGAGAGAAAATGCTGCAGTACCTGCGGGAGGTGTGGGAAACGCTTCCGGTGGTGCTGCGCCCCGGTTCTCCAGTGCGGTGGGCCTGGTCATGCGGGCGAAGTTGGACAACGCCCAACAGAAAGAAGAATGGTGGCAAAAAGCAAACCGCCTATTGGAGCGTGTGGAGACCGTCTGCGGAGCAGCCGACCTCCAGAAGCACTTTGTTGGAGCGCCATAAGCAAGAGACGGTATCGTCCCATGGTACAACCAGATCTGCGAGTGTTTATTACACATACAGCCACGCGAGATGCTATGAAGGTGCGGATAGCAGGGACGGGCTGGCGCAGCGGGCCCTGCTGCAGCCGCGCGAACCGGGCACCGAAGCGCTGGAAAAGCAGTTCCGTGCCCTTCGCGCTGTCGGAAAAGCGGAGCTCGCGGCGCGCAACGCAGAGCTGGAGTGGGTGGATCACACACTTTTCCCCTACGGACACGCAATTCAGTTGAAGACGAAAGACAAAAGCCACACTGCTGTTAACTGGTACGTGGCATTGAAGGGGCTCTTTGGGCTCGTGATGCGTGAAGTGTACCTACTCACGGTGCTCACGCGTGTCGATGACTGGGTCTGGGACGCTAAAAATGACAACCAATACCAGAAGCGTTGGACCGATGCCTTCGACGAACTTTTTCCTCGAGAGCAAACGCAGCGAAATAATATGATGCTCGCTGCCAAGGAACTGCTGGCGCCGGTTTTTCCCCGCCTCCAGAAGATTGTGCTTCGTCCGTGGCAAGACCGTGTGGCAGCTTTTCTGGAGCACGTGCAGCAGGGTGTCGCATTTGCCGACGACGAAGGGCGGCTGCGGGTCCGGAACTCGTTTCTGGCACTCACGCAGCGAACCCGGGAAGCGCTCGCGTCGCTGCGTCACTGGGTCCACTTTTTGGTGTTTGAGCTCTTCGCCAACGACGATGAGGGCAAGACTAGTGCTACCCTCTTGGCTCTGCGTGACAAAATCGCGAACGAGTCCGAGCGGCAGCGCATCCTCGCAGAGCTGAAGGCCCGGGTCGAAGCGAATTTCTCGGATACTAGGGAGCTCCACTTCCACCCGGATCGAGAGGTCAACTATGCCGACCTCGTGCGCGTGCACAGGCAACACGGAGTGCCGGGAATGCTTTCCGCCATGGTCTCCGGCCCCGTCTACAGTTCTCTGTTCCGACAGGAACAGTATCAGGAGCAAGAGCGCCAGGCGCAAGAGCGCCAGCACCTGGCCACGGCACGACGCAGCGCGCGAAAGAACCCCAAGCAAGTGGAGCCGGCGCTGTCCAAACTCAAGGCCCGGCTGTTGTTGAAGTTTACCGCATGGCATAACTCGAACTTCTCGAACATCGTGCGCAAAGCTAGCAGCTACTTGAGCCACGCAAACCTCGCGGTGGCCAATTTACCGGAGAGCGACGGTTTTCTGATGACCTCGAAGTGCTCCCTTTTGCTTGTTAAAGGAAATCAGGCTAGTGAGTTTGTATTTCTCTACAATGAGATCTCGGATGCGTTGTCTGAAATCGAAGCCACTATGTCCAGGACGGGACCACGAGAGCCTCTGTACGGTGAACAAACTGGCCTCGGCGAACGCACTGGCATCGAACTCGCGGTGGAACAGTTATTTCTGCCTCGTGAAGAGTGGCAGCACTTGCCGAGGGCCTGGTATGAGTACTTCAACGCAGTGAGGGAACAAAGCCTGCACCACCTTCCAGCTGCCCAGGTGCGAGCGAGTTCTCGGCCTCAACCAGGACAACTCTTCGAAATTGTGCACGACAAGATCATGCAGTGGCCGTATCCGAGGCCGGAATTAAGTTTTCCGTCGTCGGTGTCTAGTCCAGGGTCCGAGTGGATTGGAGGCCGGCTCTGGTGGCCGGAGGACAAGGCGAATTCTGTCTATCTGGATCACGAGTTGCGACAGCAGTACGACGGGAATGTGCATCCCGAAAGGAGCTTTTTGGACTTGCGGCGAAGCGAGGTACGCCTCGCAAATCTGTTCCCGCGGGTGCTGCACGATGATGCAGACCACGAAGGTGCCGACCCCATCTTGCCTGACGGATTCTTTCTGGGGGTATTCCGGTCGGTTCCGCATGGGGACGAGGAGCCTGCTGCTGCTGGTCCGGAGGCAGTTCTGGATGCTCCAGGGTTCTTCGCGCCGTTGACCCTGGGTGAATTCGAAGGCGAGCACGGCTTTCGCGAGGCGGCCGAGTCGAATCTTGTCCCCGTGACTATTGAGTGGGGGCCGCTGGGTCCCTCCCTACCGTTGCTCGGGGGGGTGCTTCGTGCTGTGCCACAGGAGGAAGTGGAGCGAGCGGTGGAAACCTCGGCAAAACAGATGCACACGACTCCGGGACGAGAGGGGAGCCACCTGGGGGTGGCCATGTCGTTGCGTTACCATGTGCGACAGCTATACAAGGCGGGGCCATTTCTCGAGGTGGACGCCGAATTTCTGAATTGGGTGCCCCCGCCAGGTGGTTCGTCGCCAACAGCGCACGCCGATCCGGTGGACCGGTTTTGGATCCATGCGAGTTTGCTTTCAGGCGACGACCTGGAAGTGGCGCATGTGAAGTTGGCTCGCCTATCCAGTTGAAAACTCCCAACCCCGCCATACGGATAGGCTGGAAAGGAAGTCCGATATCGCAGGTGCTTAGCTGTAGTTTTCTTCTTGCTCCATTTCCAAAGAGACTGCAGCTCGGGAGCGAGCTGAAACGGTAGTAATTCACGAGGCGTCCATTTGCACTTTGATTCTTGTATTGGCTGCGCACTTCTATACATTATGCGCCAGCGAGAGAATAGATATAGACCAGAGGCTTTTTGATCGGGTTCTTTGCAGCATCAAGTTCAACTAATTTTTTTAAAAGAAAGCTGCGTTGGTAGCTGTTTTCAACTTGACAAGGCCAGTGGCTGCTTCACGCTGCCCACAACCACAAACTGGATCTTTTGCCTGGCGTGCAGCAGGCGGAGGGGAGACGGAACGACGTCGCGGTTGCACCGACGGTTCCGGAGGCGGCCCCTGCACCGGTAACAGCAGCTGCTTGGGAGAAAGCAGGACGCAGAGCAAGTAGGCGCAGCAAGGGCAGGGCCCCCTCAGAGGCAGTAGACAAAGAGCCCGAAGACGGAGACGAGGTAGCCGCTACGCATCCCACCCGAGCGCTTGAGCATGATCATCACGTGGTGGAGGCACTGATGGCAGTGCCCGAGCGCCTACTGGCCCGATTCGCTGGTGGTTCGGACCTGATAGACGACCTTCGGAGTCTGAGGAACAGTACCGTTTGGCAATGATCGTTATCTCTTTTCAAGCATACTGCTTCACATCAATTTACTATAATTTCCCCGAACAAGAACAATACAAGCGTCACTGCACCACGTGTGTCTGCAGGCAGCTTTTTCTCTTGTTTCGATCATCTGTTTACTATTTTTATATGTCATAACGTAAACCTACAGATCCTGGATTCCAGGGCGACGCACGACTATGCGGGTATGATGCTTCGGAGCGTGGAAACCTGGATCGTGAGCCCGCAGAAGTTTTGCGAGGCGCTGAATTGAAAGACTACGAGACAACTCTCCCCATTCTGCGGCCTCGGTTGGAACGCGTGGCCTTCGTCGCACAGGGGAAGGTGCAGCGAAATCTTGGAGTGCTGCTGACAATGGACGGGACCATACGCCGTGTCGACAAGTCCTCGCCCTTTTATAATCACCCGCGCATTACAGTGGGTTGCCGGCTACTTGCCCTGCATCTCGACGCCGTGTTACGAGTTCCATTGGAAACCGATCTCATGCACCCCAATAGTGCGGAGCGGGGGTGGGCGGCCCATCTGGGGGACGTTTTTCTGGATTCCCTACCGGACTGGGTGCTCCGTGGCGGCCTTGATATCCCACAGAAAAAAGCAGGCAGGGCCTACTTAGCTGCCAACATATGAAATCATAAGTACACAGGAAAAGTGTAATCTGTAAAGCGCATATCCGAAGCAGCACGCTATCGGCTCGCGCTTCGTTATTTTTCGCATCCAAAAGTATGCCCTGCCTGCTTTTTCTTGTGGACACTGGACGTCGAGTACATACCGGGCATGCAGTTTCACAGGACGCTGGTGCGTGTGCACGTCCCTGCGCGGATCAACTTTCGCCAATGGCCTTCGACGCCCGCGGCTGCTGCTGCTGCTCTGCCTGAAGTCTATCCCATGAGTCACGATGGTGGGGCAAGTAGAAGTGGAGGATCGCCAGCAGCCGCGTCGTCCTCATCTCCCGCTGCGCGCACGGAAGCGGCGGTGGAGGAAGACCAGCACGACGCTATTACAATGAAAAATGCTCCCACCCCGGAACTTACAAGTGTTTCTCATGCAAAGTTTTCAAATGAAAGCCTTTGCCTTTCTGATGCAGAATCTATCTTTGCACGGTATCTTTTGCATAACAGATCCGGCTACGGTTGGGTTCCTTTGCAACACAGATTTGAGCTATTCAGCATCGAAAACTTGTGATGCTGATATATGGAGGACGGGGAATGTTTCCATTGGAAAGGTTTGCGGAATGCAAATGCTGCCAAGTTCTGGGCTTGGGGCATTTTTCATCTGAATAGACGCGACGCGAGGGAGCAGCGCGCACGCCGCCCAGGGGCAGAGGGTGCCGGCAGCCTCGCAGTTGGAGTGGGAGTCACACCCTGTCTACGGTTATGCCCTGGAAATTAAGTAACCATCCCCATCGACGTTTTGCATGAGCGACGCCGATTCGGAATCAGGGGTTGTTCTTCGACCGTTTTGTTGCTCTTCGGAGTGGGTGATGTCGTGGCGTAAGTTGCTATTTCTTGCAGGGGAGCAGGTCCACTTCTTGCATGAGAAAAGCCGACCGGGGATGGACAAAATGATATAAAAGCGTCCGGGGATGAAGTAGATATACTCGCAATGTTTTTCGCGGTTCTGGCCCTCGATCTCCTGCGTCCGTAGCTGCTTGCGGCGACGGTGGGAAGGTTTTTAATGTGGTGCAGTCGAGTACTCATGCGTGACAAAAGCGGACCCAACTCCATGTTTTGCATCACAAAAAGGATGGGGATGGTTAATTTTCACGGAATAGCGGCGTCGTACCGTCCTTCAAGCTGCGGAACGCACTATCAGTTTTTAAGGAATCCGATAGCGATTTTGTAGGCACCGTGGTGGGGGCACACTACGAGTGCGTCGACGCTGCGCCAGAAGCAGAAGATGACGGGTTTTGCGATGTAGAAGGAAAGGGCAGCACCGAAGACTCGTTTGACCACATCGCAGCTTCGTGCGAACGTGCTCCGCGCGATCGCCGGTTTTCAGGAGCGGGTGGCGGCACCTTTCGAGATCATCCCGTGGAAGGTCATGCGAGGACGTGCAGGAGCAAAGTGCTTCATTACAAGGTCAGAGTGGACGCAATGCTGTACATGATGGACGGGCACTCACCCGTGATGTGGAGTAGCCCTCATCACGGCTTGCTACGGGGAGCGTACGTGCTCGTGAACGAGAAGCACGTGACTGCCATTCGCACGCCGCGATGGAATGAGCGGTGGCATTGGGAACGCCCCGGAGGAGGTCCCAACGACACCCATGACATTCGGCTTGAGATCCCGGAAACGGGTGCAGCCTGGCCAGACAGTCTATCTGCCCGGTACTGGTGGAGTGCCGGAATTATAAAGGACATGGGAATAAAGGTGTACGCCGTTTCTTATCAAATGCAAAAATATCTGGGTCTGGAAGATTCATGCACGTTTTGCATGAGCCATGATGTCTGTGATGCATGCCGTAGCTTCACAGCTTTTTCGAGGGGTTCTTGATGCCTATTGCGCATGACAAATGCCCTATCCGCGTAGCAAAAATTGCATTCCCTTTGCTACTCATGCATTACAGATTTTTTTAGAATCCAAATGCAGCATCAGGGTTCCAAATGCAGCATCACAAGTTCGGATTCTTCCAGACCCAGACATTTTTACATTTGATATTTCTGATTACATCGGGATGCATGATTATAAGCATGACCGCGCCTTCCGAGACAGCCGTCCAGATCGCTACAAGCAGGAGTTGATTTTGACGAGTCCCGCACTGCTGACCGACCCGCTGCTTATGAACATCGGGGCATACGGAGAGAGAATGGCAGATGAGTGGCTGGAATCTCACGCTTTAGCAATCATATCCTCTGTGAGAACGCTGTCCGATCCCTAGATAGCGAAAGTAATTTGTCAGTGTCTATTCTTATTTTCAAGTGCGCACCAAGATATGTTCTTGCTTGTCGGGTATGCCAGCGTGCTTGACGCACCGGCAAGTGTGACGATTCTTGTAAGTAGTGGCCGGAAATTCGGCTCTCGGCATGTAAAAGGTCTACTTCATTCTTCAATCTATTCTTTGACTTCTGGGATGAAGTATGCCGCATTGCGGCCGTGCTGCATTTGCGACGACGAAAAAAACATATGGTGACGCGATGCGACCGATTTTCCGAAGTATCTTGGCCACGTTTTACTAGGCTGTCTACGACTCCCGCAACTCACGCTGGGAAGTAGTTTTTGCACGCCTCAAAGTAGGGGGTGGAAGATTTTACATCCAAATTCTTCCCCACGGAAGTTGTCGCAAAGTTGCATCGAAATAATCTTGAGCGTACAACTAGGGGGGAAAGGCTCTTCCAGAGGATAGGTTGTCCACTGCATCCACGAAAGGGCCAAAGCACACGCAAACCCCACGGTGGTACAGAGAAACTCGGGACTTGTTTTGACCGAGGATCTCCTGGAAGTAGTGAAGACTCACGTATATGAACCAAAAAAGCAGGAGGGGAATGAAGAACTACGACGCCGAGGCGGTATCGTCCCCAAGTACCCCGTTGGGGTGATTGGTGGTGGAGACCACGCAGAACAAACGAGTGTCCCCCAGGCCCAGACCACTCTGAAAACTTTTTCTGAATTACACGACGTCGCGCGGGTGCTTTCGGTCGGAGCGCCCGAGGGGGTTCCGGGTTCCCTGAAATCGATTCTGCTTCCCACTACCGTTGACGGGTCGGAGGAGCGCCGTGTTGCCTGGAGGCTGGCGTATAGCGCGCAGTACCTGCGGACTATAGGCACCGGCTTTCTGCTTTCTCTCGTCCGCATTTTGGTCGAGCAAATATACCAACTGACACAGACGAACGACGGGCGTCAGTGGCAGTTTGCGCTAGAGTTCTCCAAAACGGTGCAGGACTACACAGCGTCGCAGCGCAGAGGCGCCCAGCTCAGTGCGGAAATGGTTGGATCGAAGTCGTGGAAATATCAAATGCAAAAATGTCTGGGTCTGGAAGAATGCGCGATTTGTCATGCAGCTTTTCCATGACCCGTGAGGTCTGGAACGCAGGACCTCGCATGACAGATTCTGCGCGATCCCTCTCATGCCTATCCTGCATGAGAAACTCGCTCCCGATTTGGTCAAAACTGGACGACTTTTGGTAATCATGCAACACAGATTTTTACATGCTTCAGAGAGCGATCGGCTACCGAGGCACGTCAGGGGGCGTCGCTACTTCAATTCAATTCAATTCAATTCAGATCTAGCATGTGCGCCTTGCCTTCTACAGCGCGCCCCAGACTGAGTCAGATGAGCCAAATTGAGCCCTGACCCGACCGCCACCAAATAGAGTTGGCGCGGACTCCCAAATAGAGGAGGTCAGTCTGGTAGGTGTCTGTTGGGCCCGTCGTAGTGCGTGTGTCGTCGCCGCTTCCCGCGTCCGGTTGGTTGGTTCTGGTCGCATTTTGGATTACCTACCGAGACCGTTCTCGCCTCCATCTCAGTGAGCGAGGTCGACGATTAGGCCTTGCGGGAAATTCCCGTTGTGTGAGGCTCTCGCTTGGTCGGCGTCGTCGCCCCCTGCACGTTCGGGTGAGTAGACGGGTTGGTGGCGCCATCGGAGCTTGCTCCGGGACTTGTGGTGTGTGAGCTTCATGCGAGGTGCTCCCGGGTCAGCGGCTTCGGCCAAGACCCCCTCGCTGTCGCTCTCGTGCTGCTTGGCTGGTGGTGGCTTCCTTCCTTGTTTTGCCGCTCGTCTGTTGCGTGGTCCCCAAGATTCCCGGGACTAGGATCTCTGGGTTACCTAGGGTCGAGTTGGATGTGCGGTTCGGTGCTCCCTATGTCCCTGCCTCTCTTGTACTTGCCACTGGGTACAGAGATGTGCGTTTTCGTTCGTCAGCCGGTTTCTAAGAGCTGAAACCACATGACGTTCAGGATTGGGGAGGTTCGCAACGGCCCCTCAGGACATTGCCTCGTTGTCAGCTCTTGGAAACGGGCGGATGAGCTGACTTCGGGAAGCGTACTCGGGGTGAGTCAGCTTCGGCTTTCTCTTTAGTGAAATCGAGGGCAGTGGTAGGTAGAGGTTGTTGGAGTGTTCCTAACAAGTCGCTCCTGGTCACATTTTATTGTACCAATCTCACTTCCTCAATCCTGGATGGTCTTTTGACTGTCTATAGGTGCCTCCCTCGTTTCTCACACCCAGAGGGGCGTTAGGCCTCGCTGCCGATGCTGTCGGTAGCGGAAGTCCCCGCTCCCCCTGCTCCCCCCGCGTTCCCACGTGTTCCCACGTAGATCTAGGTCTCTACCCTTTTATTTCTCTCGTGTCGTCTTGCTTACTTCTGGAATCTTTGTAGCGCTAGGTGGCGGATCCCGCATTTGTTGGTTGCAGGGGCAGATGTTTTTTTTTCCGTCTTGCCAACGGGCTGAGCTGGGTGGGTTTTTGACAGATACTTCTTGGCTTTTAGCTCCTACATTTTACTACTCTTGAAGGCAGCCGCCATATTTACCTGCTGAAGGGCCGCACCCGGAAGCGCCCAGTTTCTGTTTACCAGCGCCAAGGTGGGTGTTGTGGTGGTTTCCAGCGGGCCGCACCCAAGGACTCCATCCACTCACCCCGCGCAATACACACGACGTTTTTGGCTGCATACATGAAAAAAGTCCACGTAATTCAAGGGGCCGCACCCCGCTTTTTATGCCCGGCCCCGTTCCTAGCACACAGCGTGCTCCACCAGGCGGGTGCATAGATGGGCCCTAAGATCCGGCGACACTCATGTGGACATACTAGAGCTCCATGATGACAAACAAAAAATCCATCTTACAGCTACCGCTTCGCTTTGCAAGCACCGCAATCGAGGTAGTGCTGACCTGTTTTGTACCGTAATACGCAAATGTCTGACAATTCAAAAAAACAAAATTATTTCATCTTCTTGTCGCCAATGCAAGTTACCTGAGGTGCCGCACACCTCTAGCTCCAGCCTCTTGTCGATTACTTCCTACTCGTTCGGTCGTGCATGTGTGGTGCAGCCCGCTCAGAGTTTTTTGTTTTTCATGCGACTCTGCAGCACCCACGCAAGTTTGCATGTCCAAGTCTCACGACTTTTATGGGCTCACGCACATCCGAGATCGGGGGGGTGGGAGGGGGTCCTCAAGCCAGAAAAAAACTCCTTTAGAGTATGGCAGGTAGCGAAGGTTCAGATCTAGCATGACAAGTTGCATTCTTCCAGACCCAGACACTTTTACATTTGATAGGAAAAAGCAAGGAACGACTTCTGCGTCGCCCCTGGCGAACGCGGCTAGGCGAAAGGTCGTGCAACGCCACTATGACCGCGGAGTGCCGGCCTATTTGGTGGCCAAGCCCTTTTCGGTCTGGTCCAAGATGTCTGCGGAGGACCAGGCACAAGCGCGAGTTGAGTTTTTTGAGCGCGCGTGGGATATCATGATCAGCCAGCACATGCAGCAGCACAACCACGTAGTCGCGCAAATGGCAGTCCAGGAGAAGAGCAGTGCGTTTCGCCATCTCATGCAGGGCGTGGACCACCTGATGCTGCGGCCTCTGATCGAGGACCGGCCGTGGCTTCTGCACCTACCTGCAACTTCCACCGCGGCGAACGACCCAGCAGTACATGTTGAAGAAGCACAACAAAAAGCGGACCGCCATCAAGCGGCGGCCCCCGCGGCCCCGACGCTGGCGTCGTCGCCTCTGGGCCCCGATCTGAACCTGTTGCTCACCGAGCGGCTTCCAGATGTACGCGCGTGGCTGGACCGCTTCTTCTACTCAGACTGGACGGCGGACGCCGGGAAGGCTCAGAGCTGGTTTTCCGTGGCGCTACCGGTCGACCAAAAAATCAAAGCAAAGTACGGCGACGCCGAAAATTTCTACCAAAAAGTGTTTTCCGCGTCCTGGGACCTACGCGTGACTGCGTGGGGACTGGCAAAACATATTATCGACCGTGGGGCGTATTCGCCGCACTTTGCGGAGAGGAAGGGGGCACAGGCGCGCGCGGAAATGCAGGAGTGCTGGAATTATATGCAGGGCAAGCAGAACGCGCCGCCCGACGGCACCGGCGTGCAGGAGAAGCTGCGGAGGTGCCTCTGGATTCTGCCGCGTCTCGCCGATCAGCGCGCGCCGGGGCAGGACCCGCCGCCGGATGAGAGGCGCGATCAGGAGCCGGTCCGTGTACCGCTTTTGAGTCTGGAACAACGGTTGCAAGAGAGTATTGTGGCGGATGAGGGGCGCACACACGCCGCCTTTCCCGACCGTGTGCAGTTACACGTGCCGAGCCACCTCGTCGTTGCGGAGGATTGGCACCCCGACGGAAGTGGCACCTCCTCGTCGGTGTGGGTCACTCATGCTTTCCGAGGTTTCACGACGTTGACGAAGTCTACGGGGTTTCAGCTGCTTCACGTGCCTTCGAATGAGCACCTGCGGGATCTTTTCAGGGCCGCGGGGGGGTTGGACGGTCTGTTCCCGAACAATTTCGGCTACAAGTGGCAGCCAGACACGCCGGCGTCTAGCAGCCATCATCCCCTCCAGGAGGAGGATCTTCTTTCGCGGCACGTCCGGTTTGGGCCGGTGGTCGGGTGCGTTTTCGTTTCCCGAACTCTTGCAAAGGCGATTGTTGCGCAGGTTACGGCTCTTCGCGTGGACGGAAAGATTTGGAGCGAGGCCGCGCGTAGCATTCTGAACGGGGGACTTGAGGCAACGAGCGGGGCTGCGGCTGAACGCCCCTGGCTCAGAGTTCCGCTGGACGTGAGTCGCTCGCTTATGCGCGCGTGGTACGAAAAAAACAAGTTTGCGGGAAAAGGCGAAAGGGATTCAGAAGATCCGGATGTGCTGCTGCGGAACAAGAAGATGTCCGACTACATTCCCACGGAGTCGTCGCCACGGGCTGAGGTCGAGGTCTCGGGCCTGGTGCCGAAGCAAAGATATGAAGTGAAAATTTACGCGCACTTGAAGAAGTCTCCCGACGAAACAGGTATCTCGCCTGCGAACCGCGCTTTAAAAGACGAGGAGCGGCGCGTCGGGTATGCATATGCGGCGGACCAGGAGGACAGAACCCTCAGTGCGCTTCGCAGATTTGTGGAGCATTTTGACCTTGCTTCGGGGGAGCCGCGAGAGCCGCGACCGGCATCACCCCAGGGAAGAGGTGGAAGAAGCTACACCGCCCCGATGGACGTGGACGCGGGAGCTCCGCCTGAGCCATCGTGCCGAAGTTTCGACGATTGGATTGCGTTGTTTCTGAAGGAGAATGCCGACGGCCGGCATTTTGCTCTGCGATCGCCCGTCACAACACCGTACTTAGAAGATGCCGGCGCAACCGCGCGCTGGGCACAGATCGCGCGAATGCTGTCCTTGTCGCCGGCCGGTGAGTGGCTGTTTCAGGCTCATGACAAGGCACAAATGGAGTTGGCCGCGGCGCAGGCGGACCCATCTACTTCGGGGGAAGGTCCGCTTTGGTCGCAACTGCTGCAGCTGGTTTACGCCCAGCTGGCCGCCGGTCTGCTCACGCGACAGCAGAGCCTCCCCATGCAGGTGGACGCGGCCGCAGCTGTGGAGTACGAAAAGGCGCGTAAGCGTGGCGGGAACAAGCAGGCACTGCGTAAGCTGGACCCTGCGCAGGCTGAAGCATCCGCACCGCGAAGCAGCTACTACTACGCCACGAAGGGTGCGGGGTTGTCGAAGGATCAGCACCTCGCGCAGCAGAAGCGTTCCTTCATGATCTACTTCGCGCGCAAGTATTTTCTGCGGGGACCGGGGCAGGGGCCGGGCTCTGATCCGGACCGCCTGGGCGGATCGTCCGGAGTCAGCGAGCCGGAGGCTCTAATGCAAGCAGGAGATGCGTGGGTCCAGTGGACCGCCTCGCCGGACGGCAGCCTGTCGTCTTTCGAGTTGCCCACGCGACTGCAGCCGGACCGGCCGCTGGAGCCCGCACTGGTACTGACGGCGTGGGCGGACGCTGCCGGAAGGATGCAACTGAAAATACGCCTGCCGGATGTGAACCGCTTTGGACCCAAGTTTGCCGCGCATAACGGTGTCGCTGACTTCTTCGCCCTGACGGGTGTGAAGGTGCGCCATCTTCCCAGCGAGGAACAATTCGTTGCCGCAGCGCCGGGCAGAAGCTCTGATCCCGTGTCCTCCTCGCTTGCCATGAAACTGCACCGCACGCACTCCTCCATTGCGGAGTTTCTCGGGCCCGGGTTGCGCGCCGTGGTGCGTGCCGCGCGCGAACGCCTGGCGAGCCATGGCGGCGTGTCCGTCGACTTTGACGACGACTTGGACCAGCGGCAGCAGTCTGCGAGTGCCAGCTCGGGGGGCAGCTCGTCGCTCGGGGACGCGGTGGAGGTGTCCTCGGTGGATGCGTTTCAGGGCCGCGAAAAGAAAGTCATTATCGTGGAGGTGTCGCGCACGCGTCCTTGGGGTCTTAAGTCGGTGCGGGACTTTTTGAACAACGAGTCGCGGTTGAACGTCGCCATTACGCGCGCGAAGAACTTGGTGATCGTGGTTTGCGACGTGCTCGGCCTCGCGGGGACGAAAGACCTGCACGTGCCGCGAGCCGGCGCAGGCCAAAAGCAGGAGCAGGTCCCCACTCGCAACGAACCGGCGCAAAACAACAACGTGTGGCATGCCTTCTTGGACCACTACGACAACCATCCGGAGGTGGTCAACCGATTCGGTCCGTTCACGCCGACCTCGTGGCAGCCACACCGCCTGGTGCTTCCGCTTTGGTACGAAATGACCGACGAGGCTCAGCTGCAAGGTAATGCGCCAAAAACCGCTTCTCCTGGTGGTCCCCGGGGAGAACACGCATCAAGTCCCTCCGCGGCGGGCGAGGCCGGCGCAGCAGCTTCCGCCACGACGGAGCTACCCGACGCTCATCCGGGGCGACGAATCGACGGACAACCTGCGACTTTGCAGCACCGCATCGACGCGCGTCCGCCACCTCCAGCGCACAGCCCTCCGCCGCCACCTCCCGGGGGCGTAGCAACGTTGGTGGGCCCACCGCCGGGACTTGTCGGAGAAACTGGTCCTGTGGGTCCGGAAGGTCATTTGCACATCAGTGGCGAACCAGCGACGGTGCCTCAGAATCCGGTCGTCGGCGTGCCCAGTAACCCGCCTCCGTCGCATCCTCCGCGAATTTCGCCGTTGCCGATCGAATCGCTGCCCCCGTGGGCTAGGCATAGGTACGGCGGTATGCTTAGTAGCCCGCCGCCGGTGCTTCCTCCGGGGATCTCGCCTGAACGACAGGTCGCGGATTTGCAGGAGTCAGCGAAAGGCAGTGCTGTTCGCGTCAAATCGATCGTGGATGCCATGGCCGAGCTGGCAGTTACGGACACGTCCCATGCTGCACGACAGGCCGCAAGTAATGATTCATCTCCGCGAGGGAACCTCGGTTCAGACGACCATGCGAGAGTTATGTATTTGCAGAAGGAATTGTGCTGGGGTGCTGGATGCTCTGCTCTTCATCAGCGGTGGAGTAGTTGTGGCATCTTGATACAAGCAGTAGCGTTTCTTGCCGGCACGACGACTTTGTTCGTACCATTGAATCATCTAATCATACGCTCGTCAAGGAGCAGCATGAATCTCTCTCCGGGTACTTTGCATGTTGGAAGTACGAAGGTTACGCACGGAGTTCTTCGCATGATGTTTCAATTTTTTTACGCCACAGTGTTGCAGAAAGTCCACACCTGATCGAACGAAAGAGCTTTCCATCACTCACCATCGAGATTTTCTTTGCATACGAGTTGGTGACGAGGTGCATGCAGGGAAGCCCTTGTCCCTACCTGCAAGTGTTTCAAACTCGATTTCTGGCAGGAAGAACTTGCGGAATTCACCTGCGCCTTTGCAGTCGCCTATCGCTGAGCAGGCCGGTGGTCTTCGAGTCGAGGCCCCGTTCTTTTCCGGGGACGTCCCAGACCGGCCCGCCAGCGGCAGTGGCGCCTCCGATTTTAGTGTTTGGAAGACAACTAACCCTGATAGCCGCGGCAGCGCCTTGAGTGGAGACGCCAACTGGGGCCCGACGCTGTCGCAAGCCTCGTCCTGTCCGGGCAGACGGCGTAAGCGGAAAGATTTGCAACGGGTATCGCCGCCAGCGCCACCTCCTATTGCCGGACTGCCAGCGGATGACGAGGAAGCAAACGCTGGTCAGCCGGGTTCCGCCGGAGGTGAAAGTGGAGACGAAAGAGTCGTCCTTATGAATAACGGACCCGTGATGAAAGATGTGCTAGGGGTGTGGGACGATAGACCCGCTGCCCCACCGCGCGAATCCGCAGGTGGAGCAGCCAGCAATCCCACAGAGTTTCCACCTTTGATGTCTCCATTCCTGGGTAGCAAACAAGGTAGAAAAGGGTCGCAGACGACCCCCGCAACTGCGACTGTCGCGCAGTCCAGCAAGTCCGTTGACGATTTGATGCTGGAGCAAGAACACGAAGGAACTCCAGAGCAGAGTGTCGACGAATCTGCCAGCGCTCCGGGTGCTTCTTCGAACGATCTTGGAAACGGTTCTGTCGACGATCCTGAATTGCAGCTCCCGGACCGGCAGACCTCCAAAGACTCGGTGTCGATTTTGTCAGACCCGATGTCTCCTCAAAATACCGGGGGCCACCCCTTCAGACCGCCGCCGGGGTTGTCCCTTCCGGACCCCGCTTCAGACTCCGACGACACGGCTGACGATCCGTTCGAACCCGCTCCCGAGACGCCTGCACAAACGCAGCCTCCAGAAAGCACGCCGGCACCGCAAACGCGATCGGCGGGGCCAGAGTCGGGGTCCTCAGGGGCGCACTCTGCACAGAGCTGGGCCACCGCGCGCTCGGGCAGGAGTACAGCCCAGGAGGGGACGGGCCACGCGGACGAATCTTGGATGCGCACCCGTCTAAACGCGCGGCCGAAGAAGGCAGCACACGGCACCAGTGCGGGATCAACGCCCGCTGCCGGCGAAGCACAGATCGTCGCGCCGGTGTACTTCATTCCGGGGTCGATACCGGATGGACCACTTGATCCGACGAGTCCGCAGGCGTACCAGGCGCAGATGCCAAATATGGGGGGCGCGGCGGAAATCGGTCCGTATACAAATTGGGGGGTCAGTCCGCAACAAGGGTGGGGAAACGCGTTCCCATATGCTGTTCCGCCTCACCCGATGATGCAGATGCATGGTGGCTGGGGACAGAGTGCCTTCTTCGGTGGTCCTCCGCAGAACCCTTCGCAGCAAATTTCCGAAGCGGGGTCACACGGAAAAGGAAAGGGAAAGGGTTCCAGAGACAGGCGGTATCAAGCGGGTCAAGGTTCCAGGGCGGACAGGAAAGGTCGCAAATGATCGAACGCAGCACGACGCGAGTGCCCCATAGATAAGTAAACAAGGCTTGCAGTTTCAGTCTTGTGAACAAGAACAGTCCATCTTTAACATGGATAACGATAACATCATTTTTCACGGTAGTAACATTTTTCTCGCATTTTGATGGGGATGAGGAGGTCGGCGTCGCAGTCGAGGCTTTAGCACATTGATTGCACTTTCGCGCCGCTCTTTCTATTAGTATTTTTGCGAATGCTGGCCCCTCTTTTCCTACATTTTGAAACAGCCTTATCCATCTAAAGAAGCGAATCATTTTTGAAGAGGAAGTTCTCGGAGGTTTCACCCGGCAGACAAAGCATCGCTTTATTTGAACCGTTGTACTATGTTTTTCCGTGTATTATTTATTGTTATACCTGACGAGAAAGAATCCGCATGAAATGCAGCTAAAACCTAAAGAAGATCAATGAAGAATACCTGCGCCGCGCCAGAAAACCGCGTTGGCTTATCCAAGCATCTGTACATGCAACTTCAAGAAGTCGTTTACAGTTACACAGACCATCGCACGCCAGCAAAATCTAGTGGCCACGTAGTTTGCAACTATTTTCTCAATCTTGTTTTCTTTTGCTGGAACCCTGGGTAACGGCAATCTAGTGAAGGCCTGGGGGATAGCAATGAATCTATTCTTCGATATGTCTGGTGGCTTTTCGTTTTTCGACGGAGCGGCGGTTGCCGCAAGTCAAAGGTGAAGATGCAGTTTTTCAGTTTCCAAGCACAATCTTGAGGACTATTAGAGACCCTCCCGATACAGTGCGCCATCTGTTTCAAAAACTGCAACGGGTATGATTCAGAGTCAGGACAGTCACCTGGCGAGCTGATTGGTGCCGTCCGTGGACGCGCGTCGCTGTCACCACCTGCAGGAAGAAAATTAGCTGTTCAAGTTCCTCAAACCTGTGTGTCCGCTGGTGCAACATTCAACACCATGCATAGGACGAAATTTCTACAACTGGATGAAGTTGACAGCAGGCACTAGTTGTCACGGTTTTGTGCACTGGAAAGTTGTCTCCCTCTAGACCACATTCGAGACACAACTGTGAAAAAAAATAACCAGGATCAACGGCAGCTGCAGAAATTACCAGCATCAGGACTTACTTCTGCAGTTCAAGAACGCGAAAATGCAACGAACTTTGACATCGCCCCGTTTATTTCAGTAAGTAGGAAGCAAGAACAAGATCTACTGGCAGGCGACACCATTTTGAGACACTCTCTCTTCTTCTGATTTTTGGTCGACCCCTGAGTCGCCCGTACTGTTCATGTAAGTGCCAGACCTCCTCTCTGTTTCTCGTCTATTCATCCAGAGGCCGAGCATAAAATTATTTCGATCAAGAACGATTTATGTACCATGTTGTCTATTTCGCCCCTACTCCTAGTTACACTTACACTTACACCTCTCCATCAATGAGCCCTGGCCTCTGAGGAGACCGAAATCCATGATCATGCCGTCAAGGCGGGTTTAGCCGGGACGCCCTTCCTATTGTGCTAGCCTCAATTTCCGAATGAGTTCGCTGCTGTCCGGCGGATCGGGGGCTCTGGCCTCCGTGATCCATGTAGTGGACGACTTGCGGGATGTGGGCCTGCAGCAAATCATCTCGCTGCCACGCATTGTCGTTGTCGGCTCGCAGTTATGCTGAGAAGATTCTGACGCACCCCGCGACTGTTGATCCCGATGACCACAAGATATGGATTTGCTTGCAGTAGACTTATTTTGCAAAAGAATTCATTTTCCTTACTGGTCGTCGCTTGTCGTAAGTGTGACCTCTACAACTGCGCGGGACCTCTGCAAGGAAAAAAAGGAAGAAAATGCACATGGTTGATTCAGTAAGATTTGTACAAGCACTTTATTTTTTGTCAAGTGCGGAGTTGTTGTGATGCACCAAGGCCAGGTGTGAGGCTAAAAGTAAATAAACAAGAAGAGGGGATCCGTGGCTGGATGGGCCCAGTTTTTTTTCCTCTGCATACCATTCTTCCGGAAAGTCCTCTGTACTCGAAAGCATTGTTGGGTACGACTTTCTTCCGCGCGGAGACGGTGTTGTGACGCGACGGCCCCTGGAGCTCCGTCTTGTGCATATCAGCGATGCGGTGGCGGCGGAAGAGGGGTACCCAGCCTGGGCTGTGTTTGGCGGGGACCCCACAAAATTTTACGACTTTGACAAAGTCCGGCAACACATAGAGCTGCTCACCGACAAAATATGCGGCACGAACAAAGGTATAGCTTTCGTTCCAGCGTAGCTTCGTGCAGGATCGCGATATTTATGCGGCACTATGAGCACGAGAAATTGAAATTTGAAGTGTTGAAAGAAGACGCGCGTGGCTCTGCTCCACAAGAGCTAGAGCGCAGGCGCGCACTGCGTGCAAGATATTCATAAAAGCGTGTGATGCAGTGGCAGCTCTCGTACTTTTCCAGTCCTATCTGCGCCGTAGTTGACACTAACTTTGTGTGATTGTGAGCATGCACCGAAAACCGTATCAACATGAAAGGTATCATTGATGATCCGATCACGCTAACGGTGTACGGAAAAAATGTGCCGGACCTCACTCTGATCGATCTCCCGGGGCTGACCAAAGTCGCGGCCGCCGGCAGTGACCAGACCGGCGACATTGCGCGTGTGACACGAGAAATGACTGAAAGGTACCGATGTGATTAAAAAAGAAGAATGCATCACAAACATCATGATGTGCGCTATGTTCATTGCCGCGGTGATGTTGACATGCGATAGTACACTGGTTGCGGTTGGCTGTAACTGTATGAAAGAGATGAAGCGCCAAGAACTAGTGCCCGATCATTGTTCTTGTGGAGATGTTTATCAAGTAATATAATTGATTCGGTCCACAGCCGCGAAGCGATAAGGAAAAAAGTTGTCGTGGAACAAGAGTGTGCGTATCAGTGTAAAACAACGGACCGTACCAGGTATATCCGCGACGACCGAACCATTGTGTTGGCAGTCAGCCCAGCAAACGCGGACATCACTACGTCAGAAGGCCTAAAGTACGCTCGCGTGTTCGATCGCGAGGGCGTGCGGACTATCGGAGTCCTGACAAAGCTGGACATCATGGACCAAGGAACCAATGTACTTACTTCACTTCACCTGTTTTTCTTCGTTTTTTTCGATTCATTAGATTCTTGCGTGTCGCGTAGGTGCGTCGACTGTGTCTTCACCCTTAGAAGGCGACAAAAAGTACGCTATGGGTACGTATTGTAAGAAAGTGATTTATTGTTCTCCGGAACCACTACATCAGGCCATTCGCATGGTGAAGGGTGAAGAGGTGCATTTACGCTTGGGCTTCATTGGCGTGAAGAACCGGTCCAAGCAGGATATCATGGATAACATGACGGTCGCAGAGGCCTTGAAGATGGAGGAGCGGTGGTTTTCCGAGCACCCCACCTACGGGCGGGTAGAGCCGGGTTACTTTGGCACCAAGGCACTGATCGAGCGGCTGATGCGAGTCCTTTCCGTGCACATTCGCTGGTTCTTACCGAAGATAAAGCGGGATGTGTTCGATCTGCGCTCCAAAATTGACGTGCGGCTGACCGAGTTGGGGGACGGGATTCCGGAAGACTCTAACGTGAAGACGCAGCTCGTATGGCGCGACATCGCCTCCTTCTGCGAGATGATAGACAATTCCATAAAAGGTATCGGGCAATAAAATTTCAGTTCCGCTACAATGAATTGATGAATGTGGCCCAGCAGGCATTTTAGACGTAAGAGGATTATTGTTGACGGGTAGCCGGAGGTGGCACGAGGCACGCCGACTACAAGGAGCGGACTGATATTACACCACTTTCGAAGTAAACTCTAAGAATCCATGTATGGGTGGTCCCATGTTTTTTTTTGCCGCAGCACGAATGAAGAAGGAGATTTTGCTGCGTCGCACACAAACACAGGTAAGTATGACCCGAAGCTCTCTGCCCTGATAGAGAAGTACCAATCAGAAAGCGACGAGGCGCCATCCGTGGGGGCCCAGGTCAAAAGGAGGTTTTCTAAGTTCTTGGAGGAAATCTACGAAGAGGACATCACAAAAGACCTCACAGGTAAGTACCAGAGTAATGCTTATGCTTTGCTTTTTCATTCTGAAAAGTTCCGAACACGAAGATCGATGATGTGTTTTTTCACCAACTTTCTTCACGCAGGAGCGAATGTTTTTCACGTACCGCATGCAAGCCAGCGTGGTTGTTCGATCAGGAATTCTCAAACTTTGAGTTTGCTAGTCCGGAAACGCGTTTTTAAGCAAAAAATTCGCAACCAGATGACGACATCAACCAGAGTTTACGCAACCTGGAGGGTGACGCACTCCCCGGGTTTCCCAGTCCCGATACGTTTGAGATGCTGATTTCGTCGCACCTCAGCAAGCTGCTGCAACCCTCGCTGGACTGCCTGGCGGACACGGTGCAGTGCATGTCGGGCCTGGCGCACCGCGTGTCTCTGCTCGTTTTTTACCGCTTCCCCGAGCTGGGCGAGAAGGTGTTCGAGCTCTCCAACCGGATTATTGACGAGGAGCGGCTTAAGACAAAAGCCATCGTCGAGGACGCGGTCAACAGCGCAACAGGTATGTTTTGATGTGAAATATTTTTAAACCAGGAGGACAAATTTTTGATTTTTTCCTAGACCTTTACCTTTACCCATTCACTCACGACAGGTTATTTTTTCACAAATGACGACCTGTATCTGATCGCGCACGGTGCGATGCAACCCACGGCTGGCGGTTCTGGGGGCGGCGGCACCGCTGCGGACATCGCAAATCGGCAGGCGGCAGAGATGCAGGAGGAAGCAGAAGATCCCAACGTGGGCGGGTACTACAAAATGAAGGACAACATGTCGCAGAAGTATGCCGAGGCCAAAGCTTACCTCACCGGCAACAAAACCAAAAATTTCCAGTCGAAGTACAGTCAGGCCTTTCTTCGCGACATCCGAAACCGCCTGGAGGCCTACTTCAAACTGGTATTTTGATCGAGGTTTTTATTGTGCTGCTCTAGATGTCAGCATTTGATCGTTTTTGTCGTGTCCTCCCTTGTGATATCAAATCTGATAGGGCCGCTTGAGAGAAGCATAGCCGCATCCATTTCAAGTTCTGCTTAGGTGGTGCGTTCGTTGCGGGAGGCAGTACCGAAGGCGATTGGGTGTTTTCTAGTGCGGAGTTTCCAAGAGAAGTTGAAGTTGACGCTAACGCAGAACTTTCAGAGCTCCGAGAGCCTGGACAACATTTTGTCCGAGCCCGCCCACATCCTATCAACTGTAAAAATGTCTGGGTCTGGAAGATTGCCAGGTTTGTCATGCACATTTTGCATGACTCCTGATGTCTGTGATGCATGCCCTAGCATCACACATTTTGTGAGGGCTTCCTGATGCCTATACCGCATGACAAATGCTCTTTCCGTATAGCAAAACTTGGACTCTCTGCTGCTCATGCAATACAGATTTTTTTAGAATCCAAAATCAGCATCACAAGTTGGATTCTTCCAGACCCAGACATTTTTACATTTGATACATCCGCGACGAGCGTAAGTCGCTGATGGAGCAGAAAACCATCATCAAGAAGTATTGAGAGGAAAAATCCCCCCTCCCCATATTGAAAAGGTATGTTTCCAGAAATTTGTGTTGCGGATTTGAGGTCACAAATCACGTCTGTCTTGCAAGAAGACAAGGGCAGAAGCTTCCGCCCCATTATGGAAGCGATTTGTCATGCTGTTCGGGCTAAAGGGGGGCCGTTTGCCATGCTGAACTACTATACCCATACGGCCCTGCCTCGCCTGGGGATCTGGCCGCAGTGCCTCTGTGCAATACAAAGCTGATTTGTGGCCACAAATCAGCATCACAAATTTCCGTTTTGATATGGGGAGGGGGGATTTTTCATTTTGATAAGAAGGCGCACCAGGTGCTGTCGCGCGACATCGAGATGCAGCTCGGCGAAGCGGACCAGGGCCTCGACTCTTTGTACCAGGAACTGCTATTCGGCCGCGCGAACGCGCGACAGTCCCCCTACACAGGGCCGCAAACCGCCGCAGCTCCGCCTCCAATGGGCGGTGTACCGCGCGGAGGCATGCCGGGGGGAGCACCGCAGCACCAGCACATGCAGCAGCCTATGGGAGGCGGTGGCGGCTTTGACCCAATGCCCCGAGGAGGGCAGATGATGAACCAGTCGCAGTTCGGGCAGCAGCAGCCGGGGGTCCCCCCGCCACCGCCGCAGCAGCAGCAGCAGTTCCAGGCACAGCAGCACCAGCAGCAGCAGTTCCAGGCTCAGCAGCAACAGGCAGCCGCGGGCGGTCTGTTTGGTGCCCCGCCACAGCAGCAACAGCAGTTCGGCGGCGGGAAGCCGCAAAGTGCGGCAAACACTTTGTTCGGAAACGCGCCGGCGGCGGCGAACCGCGGCGGCGCCAACCTGTTCGAAGACGGACCCAGCCAGTCTTCGGGCAGAAAGCCGCCAAACGCCAGCCTGTTTGGGGACAACGCGAACGCGCGATCCAAGGCAGCCGGACGCGCGCGCGACCCCCTCTTCTCCGGGTAGGCGGGCTGGCGATGTCGCTGAACTTCAACTCTAGCTATGTTCGGACCCCGAGCAGAGACCGTGGTGGTGATACTTAGTTCGTTTGTTGTATCTGATACCTTTCGCTGCAGGTCCCCCCTGCTATCTCACTTGTGTAGTGTGTTTGACAACAAGCAACCACACGACGATTTTCCCAACCAACGCAGTGGTATTATCCACCCGGAAACAAAGAACTTCTTGCGTGTGTTTGAAGTTCTTTTGCCGTCTGCGTGGCAGCATAGTAAACAAAAGTAGCACAGAACAAAACTCATACCAAGTATCTTATAGCTAATCAGCGACCTCATGTAGTCCATTTTTTACAAGCTTAAGCAAAGTCCAAAAAATGGCATCTCTGGGACGGATCGGAAAAAACCTAAATTCGATCTGAACAACATCCGACGTTCCATGAACCGATCGTAGATTTTTATAAACTTCGCAGCGATTAGACTGAAAAGAAAAAAGCGCTTCTCACACGCGGAAGGACGAGTTCGCGATGATCGGGAGAGCCGAATGTTATTTGGTGTTTCCGTCACCTCGTTCGTACACTTTCACTTTGTCTTTGCGTGAATGTCACACTTTCTTGTGCAATAGTTCGTTCATTGTCGTCCACTAAGTAACGAAGAGCAGAATTGCCGAAAGTCAAAGCGTGCAAATAAATCGGTGCCACCATCGTACACGTTATAGTGATTCGTTCCCGTTCAAGACACAATGTTGTATCGGTACTGGAATTGTGCATCTCGACTGCGTCGGTAATTGTGAACTCAAGTACCACTACTGCTCGGTGAGCAGAAGCTCGTCTGTGACTAGTCTGACATCCTCTCCAAAATCATTTGTTTTCGTCCGCAGGACCTCACTTGCTGTTCTCTACACTATGCGCGTACCCCGCGTCTGTGTAAAGTGTACCACAGCTGCACTGATCTACCACCCCACGCAGTACTTCTACCCCTTTCTGATGTCGCGACGTTTTCAGGTTTCACATTTCCGCTTTACGTAATATTTGGAAGCAGTATGTCGTGTCCCGACGATTATAACCTCAACATGACGAAAAACTTCCATCGGACATAACATACCCGAGGAACAAGTAAAATTCGCCGGACCGACAAATATAGTCACTGGATCAGGTACAATGTCGCTGGGCACGCCGCATCTGATGAGCCCCACGGGGCTGTACTCGCAAGTAGAGCTTTCCTCCACGCAGGGGCGCTTAACGAGACAGCGGGTATCCGTGCAGCCGCTCCCGTCCCGAATATCGAAGCATCGAGCTCCTGCTGGCTTGATAGTCCCGGACATAGACCCGGATGAGCCGCACCCGCAGCCCGGGGTGATCCACTTCACGCAAGAATTGCTGGTCTCGGACTTTGATAAACTTCTGCAGGACTTCGACGAGGCCCTGGCGCAATACATCGCGGAACATCGACGGGAGGTACCGGAGTCCGGGAAGACGAAGAAGCTCGACCTGGTGCTGGAGTACACGAATTTCGTGCGCGTCCTGATCGAGGAATTTCTCCGATACCGCCCGCCGCCGGTGTTTGAGCGGGTGTTCGCCGGCGACTGCCACCGGCTGGCGCACATCGTCGCGCTGTTAGACAACGTGGCGTTCGCCAGTAGGCGCAGCGTGCTGACCGACTACCGGTGGAAGCAGTGCCGCGCCACGGTCGAGCTGGTATGCGAGATTGTGCGCAAGATGCAGTGCGGCGAGCAATTGGAAAAGGCGATTTTTGCGGAAAACAAGTTCGTCCGGGGGGTTCTGCTTCGGTACACGATCAACGAGCACTGCGCCGGCAGGAACGTGGCGTTCATGGCCCCGGACCAGAACATGCTGCGCAGCGTCAAGGGGTCGCAGCACTGGGAGGACGACCTGAAGGGCATGCCGAAGGCCAGCACGCAGCTGCACGAGCAGACGCGGATCGGCCTGAAGGACATGCGGGAAATGCTGCGGCGCATGCTCGATGAGAACCGGACTGCCGCGCCCCTGGACGCGCGGGACATCCGCCCCTTTCCGGCGCTCCCCGCCCCGCAGCAACTGATCACCGACCCGCGTTTTTGGGTCTCCCAGGCACTGGACGCGCCGCAGTTGCCGACCCGGCCCGGCTGCTTCGAGTGGTGGCACCCGGAGATCACGTTTCCGAAGCCGCAGTTCACCATGGCCCACGTGCTCGGCCTGTATGTTTCCGAAGAGGAGAAGACGCGGCGCGCGGAGCGCGCGCGCATGAAGGGCAAGCCAAAGCACTGGAAGTTGCCGGGCGAGCGAGCGCCGCGGCAGGGCACCGACGACATGGGGTCGGAGGCCGAGTACGAGGGGTTCCGGGGCCGCTACGTCCGGCGCCGCGGCGACGACGCCATGGAGCTCCCCGAGGATCCGAAGGAGTGGAACAAAAGGAAGAAGAAAAAGCTGGGCCCGTTTCGCAGGATCCCGATGTTCGAAAGCAACCGGAAACTGCGGTACGAGGGCAAGGCGGACGTCCATTACACGGACTACAACCACATCGGTTGGAGCAACGACCTGGAGGCGCCGAGCGACGTGGAGCAGATCGACGCGCAGGATCACGGTGGTAAGATCACGGCCTACATCCGCGGCCAGCACCTCTCGATCTCGGACTTCCACGCGACCACTTCGAACCTGATGAAGGCCCGTCTGGAGGCGTGCAAGAACATGCGGCAACTGGACCAGATCCCGCCGCCCTCGCAGGCGGCCACGCCCGGTGACTGGGTGTACTACCAGATCAAGCGGCTGCAGTTGAACGACGAGACATTGACCCGGTTGGTTCTGGACGGCATCTCCCTCCCCCTCGCGTCGCAGGCCTCCATTCTCCCGGACATGATCGCGGCGCTGCATCGGAACACCAGCTTGGAGCTCTTGTCGCTGGGCGGGTGCGAGCTCCCGACGCTGTTCGGCCGAGCCTTCGGGAACGTGTTGAAGGACAACAAGTGCTTGCGGGAAGTGAACTTGGAGGCCAACCAGTTCGACCACATCGCGTGCATGGCCATCGCCGAGGGGCTCCGGACCAACGAGCACATCGAGCGCCTGTCCCTCAGTGAAAACCCGGGGGCGGTGGGGCGATACAAAGCGGTCGAAACCGCGTTCATGAACGCTTTAGTGGAGAATCGCTCGTTGTCCCACCTGGGGTTGACGGTCACCGACCCAACCATGCGGCGGAAGATCGATGACGCGTTGGAGCACAACTCGCACCGGCTGCGGCACCCGCTGTCCGACCCGGACAAGAGCAGTTCGGACGACAGCGACAAACCGAAGAAGAAGTACGACCGCGAGATGGCGAAACACCCGGCCTGGACGGCGGGCAGGAAGCAGGGCTCCACGACAGACCGCAAGACTTCGTCGAAGAAGAGCGACGCCTACGCGAACGGCAAGAACCCCGCCTGGGCAGCCAACAAAAAGAAATTACTTGAGTACTCCCAAAGTCGCAGCAGGGGATCCTCCCAGCAACAATCGTCCCAGCAACAATCCTCCCAGCAACAATCCTCTCGGCAGCAGAGCAGCGACATAAGCGACTCCGACGAGTCTGAGGATTCCAGGAGAGACAAATCCACCGAAGACTCAGACCAAGACTCAAGTTCGAGCTAAGCATTTTTTTTACGGGCTAGACAGTCGTGGTGAACATTAAAAAACAGCGCGATAGTGCGCCGAGATTGCTTGTGACAGTTTCGCGAGGTGATTATTTTGAGCAGCTGGAAAGCACCGCCCAGGTTGCGGATTAACAGAAAAATGTGTTCTAATCTGCGTCAACAGTCCAACCGTGCTTACTGGAAAATTGACATACTTAAATGCATCGCGTTTCCGTCTTCTGTCCGACTGATGTGTGCAAGAACTTTTCCAGGCGTCCGTCCTCGCGTGCTAGGTGCAATCACTTTTGCAAACTTTTGCCAGTTCGTCGCAACCGGGCTCGTGCGTTTCCCTTTTTTTCGTAGATGTTTTGGAATTTTGGTTCTGCGCCACGTAATACGTCGTCGAGAAAGATTCGTTCGCTCGGAATAGAAACTGAAGCTGTGACTGCATCGTGAGTGATACCGCGTCGAGGTGACTTTTTTAGAGACGGGCGCTGTCGTTTCGTACGTCCACTAGTCGTAACATGTCTAAAATTCGGAACTCCAATATTGCGAGCCCAGTGAAGAACTACGAGTACGACTGTCCCATCTTAGATGCGTTTTTGCGGTAATATTCTAGGACAGGTTATTTGACGCTGCAGTTTCTTTTGTACACCATTAGTTGAACATCGATCGAATTTCAAATTCGAGCCCAGGACCTGAACTGTTGACGGTGCAACATACAGCACTAACGTGATATCTTTTGTGTACTCCTCCTGTAAAATACTACATTGCAAAAATTTCGTTTTGTTAAACTTAGAAGTTCTTGCAACTCAAGTGTGACACTGGCACATCTCTGCTAGTTTCTTGAAAGCGCAGCCCGGTCTACTTCCGAGTCCCTGCAACTTCCTTCCACCTTCGGAGCCGGACGGCAACCGTGGATCATCGAAAGGCCAAAGTAATATCTGCAGGTTCCAGTAAGTGGCTCTGGAGGTTCCAGTAAGTTGCTCTGGCTCGGCCTCTTACTCACTGCACGTTGTGAATAACGACCGCGCCTTGGGTTGCTACTCTCTTCTACAATGACCGAGAAGTTCGAGAACAGCAAGCAGTTTAGCTTGGATTTTTACAAGGCGAACGATGATGGCTTCTCAACGGTCAGTGCGAATCAGAACAAGGAAGTCGACAAGTATTCTTGCATTTGTTTTTCAGTCGTGCAAAATTTAGACAAGGACACTTTCAGTGGCATTGCGTGCGTGCTCACCCATTTCGTCGTGCTGCAATAATTCTAATAAAACCGTACACACTTTATGTTTATTTCCACGCAAAAATTTTCTACAGAATCGTCGAGCTGAGAAAGAAAAAAGCCGCAACATCGTCCACTAGTATAGTGAACGATCCCGAGGTGCGAAGATTTTTGCCAAAGGACGACGCCAAGGAAGCAGCCGACCTCGACGTACGATATCTTCGTCTTTGAGTAAATCGCTAGATTGTTCTTCTTCTTGCTTAACATAGTATGCCAAAGTTGGAGTGATCTGGTAACCAAATGCGTGCGCGCGCGCGCGCAGAGCGCGCGCCGGCCCACGAAGCCGGCGCGCGCGCTCTGCGCGCTTGCGATATTGCTTAGCAAACGCAGCGCGAAGGCAGTTGCCGTTACCATATAGGGCAACCGCCGGGAGGCGTGAAGGTCAGGGAAATGGCCAGAAATGAAG